ACCATGTGATATTTCAGTTTTTCTTTTTTAATAAATCTGCAAAAATGTCAACAATTCTGTGTTTTTCTGTCAATATGGGGTGCTGTGTGTACATTAATGAGGAAAAAAATTTAACTTGATGATTAAAATGATTTTAGCAAATGGCTGCAATATAACAAAGAGTGAAAAATTTAAGGGGGTCTGAATACTTTCCGTACCCACTGTGTGTGTATTTATATATATAAAAATTAACAAAATATTTTAGTTTGTCTTGTATTTTTTTTTATTCGATCAGATAAGATTTTAAGCTGTCATATGGTCAAGTTACAACGTGCCCCTCAGATGTTACAATGTGTTCCACCTACGGGGCATGTTGTCACATTTCACTTCCATTTTTTGAGGGTAAATAAAGAAAAACGTATACACTGTAATTATGAAACAAAGCGACATATTTGTACTAGACAAGTGTAAAATTACTGTGGATAAAAAAATATATATTTTCTGAACCCCATGTGAATTTACACAAACTGAGAAAGTCAAAAAGTGTTACTTTGTGCCCTGCTCTCTGCTACCTCTGTAAATAAATACAATATAAATTCACGTCTTGCACACTTTAATGCCCTTTAAATGTAACATGTACATTCCCTTGGAACTGGAATCATGGCGGAATATCATGTGAAGTCCACTTCGCAGGGCACTTACGGTCGAATAAGACAACGCTTGCCTGATGCCTGATCAAGAGACCTCCTTACTGAAGTGAAAGTGTTGACTGGTGTCACCATCTCGCGAACGCGCCGGCGGATCTTCACCAAATTCGGGGGATCCCTTCAGCTCGAGGAGCCCTCTCGAACGCCACCCTCCGCGAGTCGGTAGCCCCCCGGGATCGCTAGATCGGTCGGCGCCGTGCCGCGAATTTAACCACCCGTAACTCCCAAACCCCGGGGGCTATCGTCGCGGGGGTGGTCTCATTCGAAAGAGGGCCTCGAGACGTACACTCGATTCGTGTTCGAGAGGGTTCCTCGAGCTGAAGGGATCCCCCGAATTTGGTGCGGATTCGCCAAGCTGTTATGGAGATATGACCGTTCAAAGTTTCAATGGTTTTCCATAGACTTAAGCATTAAAGCGTTTCATCCAGGTCGCCAGTAGCAACGCTCTGCTGGACAAACTAAGTAATTACACCATTTCAAGCCTTTTATCTGCATTATATGTTCTGTAAAAAAAAAAATTCATACTGGCGGCATATTCACCGATACCGATATATCGGCGACAGGCTCATATCGGCCGATAATATCGGCCGGGCTCTAGTTTTCACATACAAATAAATACTCATGTCTACAAGTAAAACAAACATTCTTGTTGTATTTTACAAGTTGGGACCATTTCATTATCACGAATATGTGATCTCTGTTTATACCCATTTCTATTACAATAATATTTCATAAGTTAATATTTAATTGTTCATTTCAGAACAACTAAAATCAGCAATTTAACTCCCCGTTTCACCTTAACTTTCTCATCTTCCCCCATCAGCCCATCAAAAACACTACCATCATCCCTAAAATAGGACACGCATTTATTCTCTGTGTGATGGAAAACCATTTTTTATTTTCTGTAATACAGTTACATGTCTATGTCATAAAATTCTTTGTTGTTTTTTTGCATATTACTACAGAGAGAAAGAAACAGAGAAGCGATGTCCTTCTAAAAATAGACTAAGACTGACGACAAACTCCTACTGTACTTTCTTTAATATGTAAATGCAGAAAGTGGAACACTGAAAATGCATGGGTGAATATAAAATTGTAATTACATTTTAATAAGCAGGTTGTTGATATATGCATGCATGAATTCATACATTAATTATATCTAACTACATTTACTGTTGTGCTACTAAAGCACCTAAATTATTTTTGAAGTACCATTTAAATGTTTGGGGAAAGAATTAATACCTTAATTCAACAAGGATGCATTAAATTGACCAAATATGACAATAAAGAAATCTATAACATTACAGAAATGAGAGATTCCTATTGTAATTTAAATGCTGTTCTTTTGAACTTTCTAGTCATCGAAGAATCATGAAAACAGTATCACGGATTCCACAAAAGTATTATTCCAGCAAAAACATCATTTTTAACTATTGATATGAAATGTTTCTTGTACAAACATTCAGCATATTAGAATGATTTCTGAAGGATCATGTGACACTGAAGACTGGAGAAATGGCTGCTGACCATTCAGCTTCGCTATCACAGGAATAAATTAGATTTGAAAATATATTACAATAGAAAAGTTATTTTAAAATGCAATAATATTACTGTTTTTACTGTACTCTAAATCACAAAATCAGCATTGCTAAGAACGTTTTGAGTCTTTTTACAAAACAAAACATTAAAAAATCTTGCTGAACCTGATCTTTTGAGCAATAGTGTGTGCGTATTGTTGTGTGAATTTGGTTTGAGCTCTACCTGTCTCTGGAGCTCATGATAATGCTGTCTCATGGATCAGTCTGGGGTTAAAAAACCTGATGCATTGGGAAGACATTGGTGAAGAGGACCTGCCAATGTGAAAGCCTGTGGACACAAAACAATAGATGAATTAAACGGTGAATTAATAGTGTAGTTTAATTTAGTTTGACTCTGTTCTTGCTACAGTCAGAGGTGAAATGTTAATTGATGGACACACAGAGTTCGGGGCCACATGACCGCTTACTCAACAAAAATTGTTTTCTTTACAAAAGATATAGGATATATTCAAACTTTTACTACATTTTCACTTGCTGGTTAAAAAAGTCTAACACTAACTCTGCATCACACCAAACCATTACCGAATTTAAAAGCCTCTAATGAAGTGCATTTCAAAGGATGCAAGTTAGAAAGGCATCTCAACCCTCAAACATTATGCTCATCATTCCACTTCAACCAAATAATTACATGGATATTGCAACCACAACAGCTGTAGTAACAAACATACCGATCATTCATTTACATCAGTCAAATCCTCCAAACAAGGACACTGACGTTGTGAGAAAACATCCTAACTGAACCAAACGAGCATGTCAAAGAAAAACGAAATGTCACGTCAGTGCACAAACAGCTACATCTAAACTTAGAGATAGTACTACTTTTAAATACTTGTTACAAAATCTTACACTCTCTCTGGGGTTACCTCCTGCACAGCAGCGGAACTACCGAATTTATCAACATAAATAAATGTGGTACCTACAGAGAAACACACTCACACAGGTGCCTGTCAGATATAAGCTCCTTGGCCCCGAGATCACAATGCAGCGCTGCGTTGAATAATCGGCGCAATAACTAGAGATGCAATGCTGAATTTCATGCGCGCACTTCCTCGAGCGAGCGGTCTCGCGAATGTGGGTCAGCGGGCATAGTGACAAGCGAGGCGTAGCGGAGGCTCCTCCCGAACGCCGCAAAATCTGCACACCTTTAAAATGCGTGTTTACTCGGTGGTCGTAACAATACATACATTATCAGCTTCTTTTACCTTCGGTCGGCGGCCGTTCGAGATCAATTTCGGTTTCTTCTTCGGAATTTTTTGCCATGTTCCGCACCATAGGCACATACCGCCACCAACTGTTTCTAATCATACATGGATGATAGTCCCGCCTCTATTCATATTTTATTTATTTATTTTTTAATTGTTAATTTTATTTCGGGCTCACCCAAGCTGTATTTCTGGCTGCTGCGTGTTCAGCTCCCATGCCAAAAAACCCAGTTTGTGTTTCTTTGAGCTTATCTTTCTTCTTCTTCTTCTTTAAATTGTATTGGTGGTTGGCAAACCAACTTAAAGGTGCATTTACCGCCACCTACTGGACTGGAGTGTGCGCAGGATCTTTGAGCTGATTGGCGGTTCGCATTCTTAAAAGAGCATTACCGCCATCTACTTGTTCGGTTTCGAACAGGATGAAAACATTTAGGCCAAGCCTACTTCACACGAGCAGTCGAAGTCATGCGCAGTATGTTGGGCCACTTTAATTCACTTACAAAATAATGTGCAAAGAATGAGCGCACTTCTTGAAAAGTTAAATTCTGGTGCGCTATGCCTATACTTCGTGCACTATTTGCATAATTTTGTACATGATTTTATTTCAGCAAGCATAGGCTACTTTAATTGCCTAGTATTAAAAGGTACAGTGAAGTGGAGTAAAATACAATGGTTGATGAGACTAATCAGACGGTTTTTAATTGCAAAATGAATATGTAATAACACATTTAAAATTGCCTAAGGAGCCAACAAACCAGTACTCAGGTAGTTTGCAGATATTAACCATTGAACTGTCAAATGTAAACACAATTCCATATTTTTTTAACATTTCATTTAAGTGTCTTGTTTGATCATTTAAGATGAAAATATGTAAAAGTTAGAACTAAGCATGCTGGCTTTTACTTTCTTAAATTGTTTATAATATGAACTAATACAACATACAGATTGTTGTTATTGTTTCGATTTCATGTTAAATAGAAATAAAGTTGGTTGAATTTAATTAAACATAAGATTATCTCGTCCTTACAGAGATGTTTTATTTTTAAATACAGATGGCAAAGCAGCTTAAATTTTATGACTTTAAATGATTTTTATGACTTTTATTTTGGAATAAAATGTCGTCTTTTGTTGACGTCAGTAGCTGCGCCTGTGAGATTTTCAACCTTGTAATGTCACGTGTAAGGCTTTCTCAGATTTATCTCCTGCAGCACAGTTGAGTCTGTTTTTATACATTTAGAGACAATGTTAATTCCATTCAGAAGGGTGTTGCTTACTGCAACCCGAAAACACAACTGTAGACTTTTTTCGAAGTCTAATACCGCGTTCAGTACAAGAAAAGTAAGTTTCATAATTCGCTGAATGTCTCTCAGTACATAAAGGCCACTGACAGTGACAAGCCACTCGTGTTGTTTTTATTGTTATGTATGAATGAGTTTATTTAGGGTTTAGTTCTTGGAGTGTATGAGAAACAGTCAGACAATGATGGGATACATCTCACGGAGGCTGCAGCGGTATTTGACAGGTCGATCTCAGGAAAACTGTCAGAAATGCTGTCGATGTAAGTCACTAATTTGACATTTGCATCCGTCTCTTCGTTGTTGTTTTTTTGCACCATCCGTTCTTTCATTCCTCCTCTCTGTTCTGTAGATCTGGACCTCCCCTGAAAAAAGGCAAGAGCAGGATCTTCTATGGTTTACATCAGGTGTGAACTCAGCCCTACGTGATCTTGGCTGCCCTTAAGATGCTTGATGGCAAGATTAATATATCAGTGAATTCTTACAAAAGTCCTTTTTTTGTGAAGGATTTCGCTAGTGCAGTTGTGGTTGGTCTCGGTAAGAGTGGCACAGGTGTGTGTGGAAAAGAAAACTGGAACAACTGTAAGGAAAACATCCGTGCAGCTGTGTCAGGTAAATTACACAATTGTGTTCAGGTTAATCTGAAAAAAACTTAAGAACATGTCGGAGTAATACACTACCAGTCAAACATTTTTGGACAGTACGATTTATGTTTTTTTAAAGAATGCTCTTACATTTTTTAATCCAAAATACAGCAAAAGCAGTAATATTATGAAATATTTTTTATTATTTAAAATAACTGCTTTCTATTTGAATATATTTTTAAAATGTAATTTTTTCCTGTGATGACAATGCTAAATTTTCCAGCATCATTACTCCAGTCTTCAGTGTCACATGGTCCTTCAGAAATCATTCTGATATGTGACCCTGCACCACAAAACCAGTTATAAGGGTCCATTTTCAGACCCTTCAGATTTATGCATCATCTGAAAGCTGAATAAATAAGCTTTCCATTTTTTGTATGGTTTGTTAGGATAGGACAATATTAGGCTGAGATGCAACTATTTCAAAATCTGGAATCTGAGGGTGCAAAAAAAATCAAAATAGAGAAAATCACCTTTATTTGTTCAAATGAAGTTCTTAGCAATGCATAATTACCAATCAATAATTAAGTTGATATATTTACAGTAGGTAATTTACTAAATATCTTTATGGAACATGATCTTTACTTAATATCCTAATGATTTTTGGCATTAAAAATCTATAATTTTGACCCATACAATGTATTTTTGGCTATTGCTACAAATATACTCGTGCTACTTATGACAGGTTTTGTGGTCCAGGGTCACATATACTGATTTGCTGTTCAAGAAACATTTTTTATTATTATCAATATTTAAAACAGCGGAGTAAATTTTTATTTTTTTTCATTATTCTTTGTTGAATAGAAAGATCAACATTTATCTAAAATAAAAAGCTTTTGTAACATTGTACACTATACCATTCGAAAGCTTGGAGTCAGGATATTTAATTCATCATATTTATTATTATTATATATTCATTATAAAATTAATACTTTTATTTAGCAAGGATGCATTAAATTAATCAAAAGAGATGATAAAGATATTTATAATGTTACAAAAGATTTCTATTTCAGATAAATACTGTTCTTCTGAAGCTTCTATTCATCAAAAGAAACCTAAAAAAAAAAAAAAAATCTACTCCGCTGTTTTCAACATAATAATAATACTACATGTTTTTGAGCAGCAAATCAGAATGATTTCGGAAGGATCATGTGACTGGAGTGATGGTGCTAAAATACAGCTTTGAAATCACAGGAATAAATTACATTTTAAAATATATTCAAATAGAAAGCAGTTATGTTAAATGTTAAAAATAATCCACAATATTACTGCTTTTGCATCAATTAAATGCAGGCTTGGTGAGCAGAAGATAATTCTTTATAAAACATAAAAAATCTTGCTGTCCAAAAACTTTCTAAAGAAATTAGATTTTGCATAAATAAAATTAAGAATGAATGAGTTCTGAAGGGTCTTTCTACGTAAAAAGAAAAACAATCTTCACTGCTTTTGCATCAATTAAATGCAGGCTTGGTGAGCAGAAGATAATTCTTTATAAAAACATAAAAAATCTTGCTGTCCAAAAACTTTCTAAAGAAATTAGATTTTGCATAAATAAAATTAAGAATGAATGAGTTCTGAAGGGTCTTTCTACGTAAAAAGAAAAACAATCTTACTGTAATGCATAATGTAATTGTAATCTTGTGGATTTCAGAAAAATACATACAGGTGCATCTCAATAAATTAGAATGTCGTGGAAAAGTTAATTTCAGTAATTCAACTCAAATTGTGAAACTCGTGTATTAAATAAATTCAATGCACACAGACTGAAGTAGTTTAAGTCTTTGGTTCTTTTAATTGTGATGATTTTGGCTCACATTTAACAAAAACCCACCAATTCACTATCTCAACAAATTAGAATATGGTGACATGCCAATCAGCTAATCAACTCAAAACACCTGCAAAGGTTTCCCGAGCCTTCAAAATGGTCTCTCAGTTTGGTTCACTAGGCTACACAATCATGGGGAAGACTGCTGATCTGACAGTTGTCCAGAAGACACATTGACACCCTTCACAAGGAGGTTAAGTCACAAACATTCATTGCCAAAGAAGCTGGCTGTTCTCAGAGTGCTGTATCCAAGCATGTTAACAGAAAGTTGAGTGGAAGGAAAAAGTGGGGGAAAAAAAGATGCACAACCAACCGAGAGAACCGCAGCCTAATGAGGATTGTCAAGCACAATCGATTCAAGAATTTGAGTGAACGTCACAAGGAATGGACTGAGGCTGGGGTCAAGGCATCAAGAACCACCACACACAGA